AAAAAAAAAAAAAAAAAAACTGAATGCGTCTTAGGATCGTCGATAAATTAATTGACAGAAAATGTGATATATAATCCATATGGATTCTGTTCCTAACATTTGCTCTATAATATCCTGACGAGAAGCTTGAAATTTATTTCAATAGAACATTGGAATGAGTTTAGGATATTGAAATGTTAAAATAACTTTAGCAATTTCATTCCATGATCTTTCTTCTTGATGAGGATAACAAATCAAAAAGGAACAGCTGCTCCTGGTATATGACCACATCTTAGTAGCATCAAATGACTTTTCATGATCTTGACGAAATATTCATTGTGAAATGAAACTTTAATAAAACTAAAACTGATTCTGGAACAATGAAATAGCAAAATTGAGTGAAATAAATGTAAGATTGTAAATAGTTGAATAGAGAAAAATTTTAATGAGAATTTTGAAATGTAAAATGAAAATGGTTGTTGAAGATATCAAAAATTACGATAGCAATATATCTTCCATCAGCAAACAATCATTCATCAATTCTCATTGATGTAAATCGAATTGAGCGATAAAATCAAACTAAAAAAATCTTCAAACTTATCGGTTTCAACAATGAAGAAAGAACTCATTATTGTATGTTCAACTTTCTTCCTACAGAATGTCAGTCTCTACATGCGACAACTGCGCCATTTAATGTTTGTTTAGTGAAGTGGATTTTGTAGGTACTTTTTTGAAAAAAACTTATAATATTAGCTATACATGTGCTGGGTATCTAATAATTGATCTACCGATCATTAAGTTCCTTCAACCTTAGCTAATTAAATGGCAGTTATTTCTATCATCTTGCAGAAATATATTCAGCTAAATTTCAAACATTACAACGATCATGTCATTTAATGTCGAAAAACTTTAGATATTTTTCTTTTTTTATTAAAGAATTGAGATCAATGCAAATAACATAAAACAATATTTAAAACTTAATATGCTGCTAAAAAGTTATTGCTTAAACAAATAAATTGTTAATATTTTGGTATCCGTAACAAATTTTTAATTATAGGCCATAATTGCAATACGGTGGGAAAATTTTTGCCTTGTATAAAATACGATTTATATTCAAATGTGATTTTAAAGATAGCTTACATCGTTTAATAAATTTTAGCAAAATGGAAAAATCACTTGGAGAGGTTTAGTACTTATAAAATAATGATAGTTACTATTAAATCCAAAATGAACTGTAGTTCATTATACTTAAATTTGTATTTGTTAAATTTTGGGAATTTTAAATCATTTCATATAACATCAAAACATTTATAGCTGAAAGAGAACTCTCAGAATATTTGATTTTCGGTTTAAATTATCAATTCATGAATGCTAAACTTGGTTTAGTCGAAATTTCTTTGAGAATAGAAATATCTGACCGATTATACTTGCAGTTTGAGGTGTTATATAGTGGACATAGCTACTGTGTCCACAAGCTTATAATAATTTGCTATCATACATGCAACATACTATTCCAAGCTTGCTTACTAGTTAATTAGATTCGGTAATTAGATAATAGTGGAATTCGAAGCGTGTCATAAGGATGACAAAAAAAAAAGCAGTAAATCGTCCTCTCATCCATGTTGGTCCTCATTAATCAAGTGAATCTAAAAATGAACGTGATCGATTTTAATGAAATATTTCATAGTTGTCCAATCTCGATTGATAAAAGTTATTCATTCTGAAAAAAAAATTTTTTTTTTCTTTTTCTCTGTTTCATTTAGTTTGACGTTATTAAAGTTGAATGATAACGATGATGTTACTGAAATAACATGTATATAACGGTAAATAGCCAAGAGAGGATAAACAATAGTATAGTGGTATTTTAGAAAAGTTGAGAATGGGTATATTAAAAATTGAAGACATGAATTGTTATTGTTATTATTATTATTACTATCATTGTTATTATTATTATTATTATTATCTTTAGAACCATCGTCGAAAGAAATCCAACTTCCGGTACGCTTGAGACACTTCATGCCATATTCATTTACTGGTGCAATATTGTATATATTGGCTCACTCTTTGAGGGAGATTACCTTGAAGATGTAGCTTACTTGATCTTCGACATTCCAATCACCATAAAATCCATAAAATTTGTTGAGTTTCACATTTCTTTTACTTTTTTGGGAAGATTTGTTAGAGAAATAAATTTAGTTTTAGCATTTCGAATGGATTAAAATTGATTAAAATTTAATGTTGCTTTAATTGATATTATTGACAAATATAGTAATAAATTAGATTGTAGCTCAGGTACAGTAAAAATAAAACATTTAAAAATTTAATAAAACAAGAAAAATATATTGTGATCAAAAAAAGAATATACGTACTAGAGATCACTGGTAGTTCAGCTGATAAGTAAATGGCCCGGTTTGATGAATAGTTTTGTGAATTTCTATTCCGAAATAAAAATAATAATACTGTTTAGCCATCAAAAGAAGAAGTTATGGTTTTAATTGATCAAATGAAGGAATTAGTTCGGTTTGATATATTTTAACTACTAGCGCGATTTGAACCTATTCATAAAATAAATTAGGCTTGATTTATTCAGTGAAACTTTTGAGGATTTCATGTAATAATACTTTTTTAAATTGAAAGTCAATTAAATTATATTGCCATCAATCAATAGTTAACATTTTCAGAGACAGCATCTGATAAGATTTTATTCCATCATTAATTCCACTCGTTCCATATGATATTATACGTCTTTAAACATAGAATTTTTAGAGTATGAACACGTAGACAGTAAATTTTGTCTACGTACTAAAACTCAAACCAATAATAAGGCTTATACAGATGCAAATTTAGGTGTGAAATTTCTCCATCTATACAGGTGAAGGACCAAAAAGTAGTCTTACTATTGTATATGATCTCGAAATTATTACTTCACGCAACTTCAAATGCAAATTAATATATCTTTTATCTTGAGTTGATCATTTTTCTAATGTGCGCTGTTCTATGATATTCATCATGTAAAACATGCCCTGAAAATTACACGACAATTAATAACCCAAATTTCCCACCTCTTCTTACTGATCTCCTTTCAAAACAGACTGCTGTCGCAGATAGTCCTCAGAGATATTTGTATATATAAAGTAACTATTACTTAATTAAGTTCCAAATTTCTTTTTGCATATATTTGAACAAGAAGAAAAGATTCGAAATTCCAGATGACTCTCAAGATTTTCACGATTTATTCGACGAAAAAAGTTTGCATGAAATGATCTTACCCAAACTGCCAATTATAAGCAGGTGCAGTAAAATGACAATTTATAATTTATCCTTGTCGTATTTATTGCTATTTATCCTTGATATTTGTGGTTATTTTTTTGAATTTGTGAAATAAATAATCGTTAATTTTGTGCGAATTGAGAGCAATAAAATAGTAGGCTAATGTAAGAGAAACAAGGAAACATCAGTTTATGTTCACTTTTTTTTTAAATCAAAAATAGAAATTACTAAATTATAATAGAATGAATTGAATTTAGTAAGCATATCAAAGGAACATAATGATCTGTTCCACAGTAAAAAAAAATGGCCTTTCATATAGTACGAAACAATGATTAAGGACAAAAAATCATATTAACAGTGAAACAGATTCAATAGAAGATATCCAAATCAGAGGGTCACTTGAGGTCACTTGGAAAGCTTAACTGTACAGTGTGAGCAATCACAATAGTAACCATTAATACATATATCACCTGCCATTCTTATCATCACCCTCTCATCTTGTCATCCAATCCCGACACACCTGAAATTTTTTTGTTACCTATCGCAGCTTGTTCAGTAATTTCCAGATGGACGATGTTTTGAAATGGAAGTGGAATGAATATTTGAGATTTAATTTTATTCTTTCAATTCGGATGTTTGTAACCGTGTCTGTTACGCATTGTATGACTCTATTTTTTTCTTTTTTTTTTTTTTTGGGGAGGAAAGATAAAATTAATTGTAAATGGCTTAAATTAAAGTTGTCAAATTAAAATTTATAGGAAGAGGAGAAGAGATTATGCATTGTCAGATTGTAACAACTTTATCACTTCTTCCCACCGAAAAATGATGATGCTTTTTTTTTTCTCGTCTTCAACAGCAATGAATATTTGCTACATTGTTTAAATGCGTTCATAAGCTTGTTCTGTTATATATGTAACATAACTAAAAAAGTTTAATTTGTCGAGGATTTTGAATACTAATGTATGTGTGATCATATTGCTTATATTACGTGACTTTATTTTGCTATTTCTTGTTATTAAATGGAAATAGTGATTTGATCATTGGGAATTCTTCTTCAAATGATGGTAGAGCTTGATGAGAAAACTTTCGGAAGAAGCAATTCTCCACTTAAACAATGTTTAATTTTATTGAATTTTAATTTGTTTTCAATCAAAAGATGGATGATTTGGCTCAAAGTGGAAGCGATATTATCGGAGATGTAGTGACAGATGAACAAGATGAGAGTAATGTAGACGGCATGGGAAAGGATAAAAAGTTAGTTTGGGAGTACGAATTGAGCCGAGGAAGATGGATCAAGTATGAGAATGCCATCAGCAGAAAATTGAAGTAATCTTTTCTGATATTGCCTTTGAATCATTAGCAGAAAGTAAAATACTCAGGATGCAAATACGGTGGATTCGTTAATATGTGATGATAGCATTCCCGTAAGATGTCAAAAACAAAAATGTATCATGTATAACACAGATTATTCATGTGCGGCACAGATTATTCGCTTTATTCATGAATATGTACGATTTTTCACAGATATCGAATGCTATTAAATAATTAAAGTTATTCTTCAGTCCATGACTATCTCCTTCCCTCCGTCTCATTTAAAATCTCTGAGATTTATTCCCTCTTCATTAGTGAAAATAGTGAAAATGTTTCATTCCTATCTAATTATGACTCAGTATGGTATAATTTCATACCAACGTTCACTATCATTTACTTTATTTATGGGAACAAAAAGATATTTAATTTGGCTGATAGTTATTAACATTATTGAGTGGAATGTTTTCATCTAGTCAAACTAACTATCACTTAAATTTCCTGAATTGGCAACTTGTATTTTAGTGAGAGTATAACAAGTGATATTGCGGAGATTGAAATAGACGAATCTAAATTACAAATCGATTTCAACTCAATGAAACAAAAAAACTTGGATACCGGCTTTGTTCGATCCGTGAGATGTGCTATTCGAAATGATGAAGGTAAATCACTACTAGAAAAGTGAAATTTTTTCTTCTTCTAGTTCAGATTTGTCATGATTTTGCTTTAGGTGTTTACCGTGTTTGGGAATACATTGATTCGAAAAGACGTTGGCGAAGTGTGGATCCATCATCTATTATAGCATTAGAAAACGCTTTCGTTAATGGATGCGGAAATGTTAAAATATTGTTGTCAGGAACAAATTTTATGGCTGATTTTGACAATAATCTAATCAGAAGTGATGATGGATTGACGGAATATAAAGTAAGTAAAAATCATTTTCTCTTGAAGTCTTTGTGAAAAAAATAATGCTTTCAATTATTAATTTGTCTAATAATTTTTTTCTTGATTAGGAAATTTTATTATTACTGTCAATTATAATATTAGATCCGATCGCGCGTCTCGAATGCCGAGCCCTCGATGTCAGCAAAACCAGTTCCAGGGATCGAACGTCTTCGAGCAGTAAAACGTATTGCAGCAAGAACCGATATACCTTCAACTGAAAATGAACGAAAGGTTAGTTAATAAGGCTTTTTCATTTGCGAGCGAACAGCGGTATAGCAAAAATAATTTTCGAGTACCTGAATAAGATGGAAATGTCTCTTTACGATGCTATCATAATGGTTTCAATTACATATTCGTTATGACTTTCAGTGCTGTTCTTTACAGAAAGTTGAGAATTTTTCCTCATTGGATAAAATTATTAGCAATGAAGCAAACATCAAATGAAATTCATATATTCTGCTAATCATTCGTTATTAAAAAAAAATTATTTTCATTTTCGAAAGGACAAATTTATCTTCAAAGTAATAGAATGTGGCAGATGTTGTTCTAGACTATCTCAGATTTCTTAATATGAATCAACTCATTGAAGTTACAGGTAATGAGGGAAAAAGATGGCAAAAATGATATTAATGGAGATAATGATAACAGTGAGAAAGAAATTAGTGAATCAAAAAGAACTCGTAGGAAAGGAAATAGTACTTCTGAAGGGCAAAAAACAAATGATTCGAATAGCAGTATTGGTAAAGGCGAGTTTCTGAGGAATGCATTAAGCATCATCATTGATACAAATAAAAACAATAGTATCGAGAAGTAAATGTGCCTGATTTAATTTCACTTAAATCCATTGGATCTCACTTCATTGATATTGAAGTAATGCCCTAGATATCTAGGAAAGATAAATTCTAGGGGTAGCCGATTGTTTTGGTTCGCAGCCTTTGTTCAAATTACACTTTTGATCAGAAGTATATATGCTTACGTTTTGATATTTGCTGATAGAGTTATTATTTCAGATGATAGGGGCGATTTGAAGAAAATTATACTAAAGGGCGTTGCAGCTGTGGATCCTGAATGTCATGAATTGGTCGACACTGTACATGTTTATACTGAATTCAATGATGTTTATGATGCCTTATTGAATCAGGTTGTTTCCTGCTAAATACGGTTTAAGAAATAAAATATAAAACTGTGAATCAAATTTTTCATCTTTAACATTGATCGTGTTTTATATATGTTATGTTGTTGTCGATTTCGCGAGTTTTTCGTTTCAGACCAGTGCCCAATACAATAACAATAAATATTTCATCATACAGCTATTAGAAAGTGATGTGGAAAAGCGCTATTGGGTTTGGTTTCGTTGGGGGCGCGTTGGTTATAAAGTTTGTTTTATGGATTACTTTCTGATTTATTTCTGATTTTCATTGATGTCTATTATTAGCGATATGTTTGTCACTCTTAATATAAACCTCATAGTGCTTTAAAGAGCTCTGAAAAAAAGAAAAAAAATCTCACACTTTGAGTTATGCGGCTATTTATTAAATGGTGGCTTAAATCAGCGACGCGACTTTTCAAATTTTGTATAAATTTTCATGTCCAACTAGATGACGTATTTAGGGACAAAGCAGTCTGAACCCATTTGGTACAGATTTAGCGGGAGCAAAGGAACTATTCTGTGACAAGTTCAAGAGCAAAACAAGAAATGATTGGGCGGAAAGAACCAATTTTGAGAAAGTAATTGGCAAATACGACTACTTGCCTGTTCGTTTCTTTAAATTGAATAAGTATTAAAAGTAATGATAAAATTCTATCCGATTTTAAGTATTAAGTTATATTTTTAAGACTGATTATTCGAAAGTAATAGAAGTAAAAAAAAAAGATGGAAATGATACTAAAGAGAAAAAAAAAGTGGAATCAAAACTGGACTCCTATCTGCAACACTTATTAAACATTATTTGTGATATACGAACAATGGAAGAAACGATGACGGAATTGGAATATGATGCTACTAAAACACCATTAGGTAGATGGTTTGATTCCTTGAGTTTTAGAAATTGCATTTCTTGTCTTTTAAATGTCAAATCACATCAATTTTCATTCTTTTTTTATATAGTCAACAATGCTAACCAATTATATACCAACTATTACTACCAGATTTTATTACATCTATTAGTTTTGTCCCATTTAATCACTACAGGAGTTACCACTGTAGATATCATTAAACTGCCAGATTTATTGCTTTTTAGGGAAGGTGACGGACGAACAAATTAAGGCGGGATATGCTGCTTTGACAAAAATTGAAGAGTATATTAAGAAAAGGGATTTTTCGTCGAGTTTTGTGGAAACTGTCAACAGTTATTACACAAAGATACCTCACTTTTTTGGGTAATTACGTTTAACTAAAGTGATATTTCAAAAATTCAATACAGCACGTCTCTCAGTAGTTTGTTGCATCAGATGTGACTTGCATAAACATTCGAAATTCTAAAATCGCATTTGGCAATTTCATTTTTTTTTGAATTTGTTAGTGTTAATTTTAAATTTTGATACACATTACATCTGTCACCATATTCCTCACTGCACTTACAGGATGCGACAGCCACCAATGATTAAGACAATTGAGCAGTTGAAAGCTGAAATTAAATTGTTGGAGGCTCTGGGCGAAATTGAAGTGGCTGTGCGGACATTTAAGAAAGAGGGAAATATCAATGTTCACCCAATCGATCGTCATTACATAAATATGAAATGCGAAATATCACTCCTTAGTGCAAGTGACCCTAAGTATAAGGTATTTTTTGGCAATTTTGAAAATACTCAAGTCAGCGTAGGGAATGAATGAGTCCATGTCAATCATGCTTTTCTTGACAGTCATTGAATATATGGAATGGTTTTTCGACTGAAGAAGAAATCGGCTAATAAAAAAAGCTTACTCTCTTGCAAATTATTACCATTCAGCAAGAATGATCGTTTTGACCTATTGCCATCTGTGTATCTGCTTTTTATAATACAGATTGTGGATAATTATCTCCAGTGGACACATGCTCCAACACATAACATGTATCATATGCGAATTTGTAACTTATATGCGGTAAATCGAGATGGTGAACGAGAACAGTTCATGTTCGATGTTGGCAATAGGTTTAAATTGACTTGTTTTTTATCTGAAGAAACAACAAGACAATCCAGTTTTATTGTTTAGTTCCTTGTTCGTTGTTTTATGGAGAAAAGTAGTTGAAACGAAATGACAAAGAGCTCATTTCTTTGCTTTTCTTCATGGTTCTGTTGAAAAGTTTATTTGTCATTTCACTAATAGTTTTTTATAAAAATCAACATTTTATCTGAGCTAAGTTGGGATAAACGGAAAAAATTTTAGAAAATTATTATGGCATGGATCTCGACTGACAAATTGGTATAGTATCTTATCTCAAGGATTGCGAATTGCTCCATCAGAAGCTCCTGTGGTAGGCTTTTATAATATTTCGTAGAAGTTTTGTGTTCCTTTTTTTTATTATTTTTTCTTCTGTAATAGCTTTTTTGTTGGACATAGTACACTTTTGACTTTCGTTTCAGACCGGCTACATGTTTGGTAAGGGTATATATTTTGCTGATATGGCAACAAAATCTGCTAATTATTGCTACCCACAGCAAAATAAGCCTGGTTTTTTGGTATTGGCAGAAGTTGCATTGGGAGAAATGAACGAATTACTACAAGCTGACTTCCATGCCGATAAACTTCCTGCAGGAAAGAGCAGTACGAAGGGTTTAGGTTCAATTGTTCCTGATCCGACTACATATATCACTTTGTAAGGTTTCATATCGTTATTTTGCTAATTTTTACTATGGGAATGTTCAGCTTGATATTTTCAAAGTCTTCTATATATATATTTGGTAGTGCGTTCGAAGTGCAACATATCGTATAACCTGTTTAGTGATGTGTCCGTAATTTCTTGCAGAAATCTGGAAAAGATTAGTAATGACATGTGTCAAATTATTCTATGTATTTGTCTTCTATTTGTACTATGACTGTATGTGATAAATTAATTTGCCGCTTATCTTAAAATTTCTAATCTTTTGCAGAGACGATTGTGAAGTACTCTGTGGTAAGCCGATCACATTACAGCCAAAAGGCAAGGATTTCCCCCTTATTTATAACGAATACATTGTTTACGATGTGAAGCAAGTTTGGATTCGTTACCTGATTGAAGTTGATTTCATCTTTGATTAAGTTACGGATTTGGTTATTTACATATTTGTTTAGATGTAAACTATTTACATATTTGTTTAGATGTTTTGAAGAATTTTCCAGTTGTTTCTCGAATCTTAAGTAATGCGTATTTTTTGATCATTGTTTTTGGTAAGTCTTCATTTTAAGTACTGCTATTGTCTGATATCTGATAGTTGGATTACGCGTTATTAGTACTTTAATTTGTTGAGGCATGCAGTGTGAGTTTTGAGATGGATCCATACTTACCGAATAAAAATATCCATAAATTCTAGAGAGCTTTGAACCAAGATTAAAGGTTTGTTATTTGGTTGGAGAAGAAAGCGATGTTGACAGCCAAACAAAGTAAAGATTTTTTCTGCTTCCTCAGTATTATGAGATGGAATAAAGTGCTTTTTCAATAAAATTATGGGGCTGACTCATGATTTAAAATAATTGGTATCACATCCTGTTTATTTGCTATTAATTCCAAAGAAATTTTTAGATATAGAATAACAGAGATATCTATGTGTAGCTAAGCACCTAAAATATTATGTTATAAAGTGCTTCACTGTGCCATGGAAAATTGTTCAGGATTGTTAATTTCCGAATAGATTCATAAAACTTTTGTGTAAATTAATTTTAAAATGGAAAAAGAGAGCCCATTTTGAAATCCTGAAAATTTCTGAAAGCAAGGCGGATTTTCCCGTTAACTTTGTTGTGGCAGATGGTTTCTATCGCATTTTTCTACTTTTTTTTCCTTCATTTTGTTGGACATAATCAGTAACTTCGTGTAACATTTGCTTTTTTGAATCGGTAAATAACAGTGTAACCTTGCTTCACTGTACATAAAGTATATAAGTAAAAACACGTTGTATTTAGTTTTTTTTTGTCACAAAATTATTTTGTCATGCCAGCGAAGCGAAAAATTATCAGAGTGAGTTCAGCAAAATTCTAGTTGTTTACGCCAGCTCTTTTTCTTTTTAGTCTCTATTTCTTCCTTTTTTTTTTGATCAAAGAAGTTTACATTGTATTATTGAGCAGTCTATATGCATTCATTTATGCTTATATACATCCATTTGCAGATGATATAATAGAAAAGGTGGGAGAAAACATGGCTGATTTTGATGATTTTGGTTTATTAGCACAAATGGCTCGGCGTGAATTAATTCATTTGTTGGAATCGATGCCTGAAGTGAAAGATTTGGCAGTGGAACCAAGTTTAATGCGACCATTGGATAAAATTGCATCGATGTCTATGCTACAAGAACATAACTGTGCTCACGTACAACAATTTCAACATCATTCGAGTCTTACATGGAGTGAGCATGCACTACGTCGTGTATACATTATACGTCCAACGTTAGCTACAACAAAGCTTATTGCTGAGCATATTTTAGCCGAACCAGAACGAAACTATTCAGTGATATATGTTCCACAACGACTATATATTTGTGAACGAGAATTTGAACGTTGTGGAGTTTTTGGTATGGTTGATGTGTTGGAGTTAGAATTACCACTTATTAGCATCGATGCGCATTTGTTCAGCTTAGAACATCATGAATTTACAATAGCAACATTGGTGGATCATACGTTCACTCATCTTCGTGCAGTTGCAAAATCACTTTGGCAGTTGCAAACACTTTATGGATTGATACCAATTGTTTATGGTGTTGGAGAAAATAGTGCTCATGTAAACAAACTGATGAAGAAATTGCACACCGAATTAGGTGAACCACGTTCATCACCTGATCAACCTATTGGTCACTTATTCCTCTTCGATCGAAGTCTGGATTTGGCAACTGTCTTTCTTACTGGTTTAACATATGAATCAATGGTACATGATACTTTCGGGATAAGTTGTGGTAAGGTAGTATTTGGTGAGGAAGTAAATAAGCGTATGAAAAATGGTAATACGAGTCGCTCCAAGATTACCACTCTGGATAATAATGATCCTATTTTTTCTGCTGTACGAAATATGCATATGACTGCTGTCTTTCCATTCTTAAGTGCTAAAGCAAAATCTCTTCAAGCAAGTTACGATAAAGGTTCTAATTTGGAGCAAGTAAAAGATATGAAGGAATTTGTATCCAATGAATTACGAACCCTTAAGCAACAACATAAATTATTGGAGTTGCATATTTGTGCCTGTGAAGTGGTTCTGGAAAAGTGTAAAGGGATCTCGGATCGACTTACACTGGAACATGCATTAATTTCGGGAAAGTTTGATCCTAACGGAGTGATGGCTTATCTGGAAGATTGTATGTGTGCCCAACGTGATCAGTGGCAAATTCTACTGCTGGCATGTCTATGGTCCCTTACTCAAAATGGGATTCCAACCAAATATTTCACCCAATTTCGGAATCAATATCTCTATGCTTTTGGCCATGAAAATCTTGCAATACTACATTTTCTCGGTATTCAGGGCCTCTTAATAGAGCGTTCTACACCGCAATTACCAACTGTACATACAGTTATTCCAATGAAACCTCAAGCAACATCATCATTTTCTAAGCCAACATTTCAATTTTTAGCACGACGTATGGCTCTACTTCCAGGTGATGCCGAATCAACAATGGATCTTCGAAATCCGGATCAAATGCGGTATGTTTTCTCAGGTGTCTATACACCTGTTCTATGTAAAATAGTTGGTGATACAGTGAACAATGGATGGAATATGCAGGAAATGAAGGCAACTTTTGGTGAATCAGTTTTCTGCGATCAAAACTCGTATACTCGCGCAAGTCGGCCACCTGATAGTCGTATTCGGAAAGCAATTTTAGTTTATTTCATTGGTGGTGTAACATATTCGGAGATTGCTGCACTAACTCTTCTTGCACAGTACAATAATTTACGTATTATCATCGCTACCACAAATATCATTCATCGTGAAAAATTCATTAAAGAAATGGCTAATGTTGATGTTACACCTTTCTGAGATGAATGATTCTTTCTGAGATGGATGAATTTCTCAGTGTGGATGACTAACTGTAATTTATTCTCTCTATATTGTGTTAATTTAATTTACAAAGCAATTGAATTGATACATTTTAAATTATTCGAGAATAGATGATAATTAGTTTGAAATTTCTTTTGAAAAATTGCATTTTTATCATCATTCTGCTTTGTAAATTAAGTTAACACAGTACAGAGAATTCTTTCTTCCACTTTAAAAGAAACCTTATACATATAATTTTTGATTGAATTCTTTCTATTTATTGGCTCACTTTTGCGTAATTAGCAAGAAGTGCTAAATTAGAAGTTCACATAATGTTGTGCTGATACATCTTTCAATTCAAAATATTTGTTCAAATTTCAATTCTTCGAGATTCGCTGTTAATTTAGTAATGCGAGAAATATGTATAAATGCGTGCAGTGGTACTAACTTCAAATGAAAATTCTTCCACTTGAAAAGCTTTACTGTATTTCATGTTTTATATATCAATGTAATTTTAAAATTTTTTCTATTAAGCTCGATCACAAGAAGAAGCTAGAATATTTTGGAGTTAGTTACATCACTTGTCATTCTGAGCTCACATTTCAGTAAACATTCCTTGTGATTTCTCTGAGGGAAAATTTTTTTACTAACTTGAATTAAAGTTGATTTGAGGATTTCAAAGATTCGTCTATGACTTTCGACTTGATAATAATCATGAAGTTATCATGCAATAAAATGATTCCTACACTTTTATTTTGCTTTTATTTTATCAATCGTTTGAATACATTCATTACTTTAAAGTTATAATTATATAATAGTTATAATGTTTTTTATTGTGTTTGCTTCTACACAATATACCTTATCTTTTTCAACTTTTAATATTTCTAAAATTGATCCTTACAATGGCTTTTCACTTTTCTTATGCTAGTGAAAGTTATTCTAATAAATTGTATATTACTGAAAGAATTTTCTGGGAAGGTAGGAAAGAGAAGATTTGATAGCTTAATATAAAGTGTATAGATTGTAGTACATGTACAAGTTGAATTATGATTTGAAGGATTGCTATGGTCACTATCACATCTTCATTCCTGCATTCGTTCGGTTTTTTCATGCAAACTGCTGTAGAGAGAATGAGAGTCGTCGGTCATTTTCATTGAAGAGGTTCAAATTTTAAACAAATTTAAGTCATTTCATAAATCTCGGATCTGAAATTTAATTTATTTCTTTTGTGGAACATACAAGAAGTCTTATTTTAATGAAAATACAAGAATTCGCAAAAAGCACACATTTTTGTAAAAGAATTATATTTCTTGCTCTTTCTTTCTGTTTATTTAAAAAGTGACGGTGAAAATATCAATGCTGACACATCTAAACCTGCGCGTAAATTACTCTTGACAGTGTATAAGTTTTAAGCTTATATATTTTAAGCATGTTTTATTGGTAAAGAATTAATGGAATACAAAGTAAACGAAGTTACAGTACTTGTTAATTTAGAATTAGATTTTTTAAAGGAAACTTTAAGGTTGATAAATTGAAGCTAATATTTGTTGTCTGTTGCTAAGTGTTGTCCTATCATATTTGTCGTATTTTTCGCATTGTCAATTTTTTTTTTCAAATATTCACAGCAGCAGTTATAGAATTTATGGCACGAGTTAGTAAAAAATGATTTTTTTGTACTTGTCCCTGTTAAAGTAAGTTAGCGTATGTGTCGGGAAACCCGAAATTCCTAATTATAGCCAAGTAGTTGTATTTCTTTTAAAAAATTGTATAAACAAATAATTATTGATTTGAAAGAATTTCCTGGTGATTCACCATCTGTAATGAAACTTTAAACGTTTCATTAGCAAATTCTCATCATAAAAACTATTCCATATCTAAATGTCCATCTCCAAACACAAGCTGATCTTAACATCCGCTGATTTATCCTTAACATTTCTCTTATAAAAACCATTCCTTCGCATAGCTATCTTTGTAACTAATCTGCTTGCATCATGATATTAATCACATAACTGTATAAGAATTTAGATATTTCTATCACTATAATCTCTTCATCAAATGAATCGTCACACAAAGTCGTCAGCAGACCAACAATTCAACTAATCGGTCGGAAAACCACCTCAACCAAATCAAATCAATTTAAAACTTTTACAACAGTATGTTAATTTGAATTTCTATTGTAAAAATGAATTTCTACTGCAAATTACCTTTTTTTTTTTAGAAAAAACCGATGTTTAAATAATATTAATCATAACGTTTAATTGATTTAAAGCAGTTGACATCAATTCTATAACATCGTTCTATCACCATGTTGATGGAACGTTTGTCGAAATATCGAGGGACTTATCAAAGTTTCTAGCTGGTGCTTACTTATCAACTAAAATTTATAGTAAGGATGTCAACTGCTGAAAAAAACTGCTGAAGAGTAATATTGAAAAATAATTTGTGAATGATAGCGCAATAACAGTTATTGCAAAAAATTTTAGATGGATTTTAGATGGAGCTAACTGACGTTTTAAGCTTTATTTAGAAATATTAATAATTTGTTAGCTTTTTTAGGAGATAATGCGGCAGTGTAGCATGTAATGCTTCAATACCAAATACAATCGATTCGAGAATATTGTGTTTAATTTTTAGGAGTTTATTGTTGTTTTTGAATTTTACTTTATGTGATGATAAAATGATCTGTCTGCTTTATAATAACTAGACTGCTGTTTCTGTAAATACTGATGCAATCGATGCAGTAAAGTTTTTTTTGCATGAACTTTCAAAATTGAAGTTTATTTTATATCTTGAATATCTGTTAATCTTATCATTCTTATCATTAAAATTTTCGATTTCTGATTGGCACACTATTAACGATTACTTAAATTTATTGATAATTAGTGATCTTTAAACCACAGAAGTTTAACAGTTTTTGTTCATGGAATTTAAGACATAATTCTATAAAATTCTTAAAAAAACTGGACTGTAGGATTTCCAGATAGAACAATACGAAGAAAATTTTAATGCTTACTAAGCATTAGCTCATATATAAGGCATGGATTAATTATTGACGAAATAATCCGTTCTCAACAAATTGTAAAATATGAATAAGAAAAAGGATGCTGCATAAGAGTTTGGAACTTTAAAATTTCCAATTTTTTGACAATATCAGAAACTTTCATGACAGAAATTAGAATATCATTGGTTTATAAGTGAAGAGCACAGGTATGCTTACTGGATTCCACTAGTGTGGAATATGATGGATTCAGTAGTGCTTTACGTCATCCTATTATTGCGTAAGTTTTATCTTGCCTTTTTTTGAATCCTTCACTTGTGATCTGTATGTTCACAGTGTCACATGTATAGTATATGTGTCTTATGTTTCTTATTTTTTTTATACATTTTTTTTTGGCTGAGCATTAAAGGAAAGATTTCCCAGTTATGGATAACAAATTTTCATTTAATTTATCATTTCTACGCTAAATGAATAGGTATTTTGATAATTTATAAAAAATTTTTAAGCTCTACATTTTATGATATACTAGCTACGTTTATTATTTATATAAGTCAATTTTCAAGATTGTATCTCGCCTGCTGCAACAGAATCGATGTCAGAGGATGGACCACTAAAAAGTGCATCATCTATTTCGGGAATATTAGTGACGTGTTATGAAAATGAAGAAATTTGTAAAAAGGAATGTTTTTTCACATGTCATTCCACCGATTATTGTAACGATTCGTCATTAGCGAAAGTCGCATGCGTTCCTCATTTAACTTTGTAAGTTTCTTCTTTTATCAAAATTCAAGTAGTAAGTAAGCCAGGAATGTATTAAGATAAAAATTTTAAAAATATAATGTCTTGCTAATGAATGAAAGGAGAGAGATTTATATACTTCTGAGTTATGTCGGTATGAGTAAGTTTTGCGGAATTCCTTTAACTAAAATATTTTGAAAATTTCAAATATGATTAATGAAGTTGAATGTTCAGAATGAAAATTTTTACGAAAGAAATTGCAGGATAGTATTTCTGACATTTGCATTTATCCTGTTCACTGCATGCTGCTGTTGTTGCATTTGCATAGGCGTTCCGATTTTGTTGTGTTATAAAAGCCTGAGGAAATGGCAAACAAAACGAAGGAATAGACGAATGTTTATATGATGTTTTTTGCATTTTTTACCGTTATATGTTTATTTAAATTTCACACACTTGTTTACTTTTTTTTCACCTCAAGTGATAGAAATGATTATCAAGTCTACTTAGGTGTCGTGATGTTATCACTATATGTATACTAGACTGAATTATACAGGAGATGTATACAT